CGGCGGCCCGAACCGCAATGAGCGTGTTGAGCGTGTTGAGCGTGTTGAGCGCGAGGTTGACGTCATCGAGGAGGACCGTCGCTCCCGCTACGCTCCTCCTGGCTTTGTGGCCGGCGCCGGCCGCACCAGCCAAGCCGACCTCCTCGAGGTTGACCGTCGGACCGAGCGTCTGTACATTCCCGAGCGCCCGCGCTCGGCCTTTGACCCTTCACCGCGAAGTGCTACCTATGTTGAACGCCAAGTCATCGAGCGCGAGCGCGAGCCTAGGGACAGGGATGAGCATTACACCAAGGTCGATCGCGTCGAATATCGCGACGACAGGGCCCGAGGCGGCGCCGTCATCGAGCGCGAGCGCGAGAGGGTCGTAGAGCGCGACGATGATTACTACCAAGAGCGCGACCGCGACCACAACCGTGATCGCGACCGGTCGAGGGTCGTCTACGAGTCGACCAAGGAGGTCGAGCGCGAGGCTTTCTCTCCGCGGTCGCCTCGTGATTGGGACCGCCGCTCGTACTGGGATGACAAGGATGCCGATGTACGCATCGAAAAGAGAATCGAGCGCCGCGACGACGGTGAAATCCGGCTGGAGCGTCGCGTCGAGGAGCGCCGTGACGAAGGCCCTGCCGAGATCGAGCGCTGGCGCAAGGAGACCGAGTACTACGAGCCTGCTAGAGAATCGGCACCCATCGTGATTCGCCAACGCGCCCCCGAGCAGCAGAAGATCATCGTCCAGGAAGCCCCTGCTCCTCCGCCCCTCGTCATACGGGAGCCGGCCGAGGTTCGCGAGGTTGCTGTTGCAAGCCGTCCGTCGCGTGATGAGGAGTACTATTACCACCGTGAGTCCCGCGAGGTTGGCCCTTACCGAGGAGAACGCCGCGAGGAAGAAGTCGCAATCGAGCGCTACGACGATGGCCGCCGGCATCACCACCACCACCACCGCCACGGCAGCGAGGGCGAGTCGGATGATGGCTACTATGTCAAGCGAACAGTCGTCCGGCGTGAGCGCAGCGAGTCGGGAAGCCCCCACCGGAAGCGCCACATTGCCGAAGGCGCCCTGGCTGGAGCTGGTCTGTCCGCGATCCTGGCATCCCGACGTAACAACCAGGGCGAGCTCCCGGAGCATCGTGGCCGTAAGGTTCTCGCGGGCGCCGCCATTGGAGCGCTCGGCACCGAGGTCGTCAGACGGGCACACAGCGCCTATCAAGAGCGCTATGGCGACGAAGAACGTGGCCGCTCTCGGTCGCGCTCTCGGCCGGCGCATTCCCGGATCAAGACTGGTCTAGGCATCGCAGCTGTGGCCCTGGCAGCTGCCGGCGCGGCCAAGTACTACCAGAGCCAGAAGATTGAGAAGGAGGAGCTGAGCCGCGGTCGTAGTCTTCACCGATACAGCGATGACGAGGGGTCTCGCAGCCCCAAGCGCTCAAAGAGCCGCGCCGCATCGATGGCCAAGGCTGCCGTCGGAACGGCGGCCCTGACTGGGCTGGTGCAGCACTACCGCCACAAGAGTAAATCGCGTGACGGCAAGGACCGGTCTCGCTCACGGCTGCGCACCGGCGCCGAGATTGTAGCGGCGGGCCTTGCAGGCGCCGGCGCCAAGAATCTATGGGACCGGCACAAGGAGAAGAAGGAGCGCGAGAAGGAGGGTGATCGGCGGGAACGCGATCTCAGCGACGCCGATGACTACGAGTCTGATTATCACGCCCCACACAGCAGAAGTGGGAGCTTGTCCCGGTCCGGACCCACGCACCCTGTCGCTAACTCTTCAACCGCTGATCCTGAGTTAGGCATGGTTGAGTACGGGGCACAACCCCTGTACAGAGAAGCCCCTTACCCGACGCACACGGACAGGGACGGCGATGCAGGGTATAACTCGGCTGCCGACGAGGCGAGGAGGAGGAGTCGGCGCCGAAAGGGCAAGGACAATGCGAGATCGAGAGGCGACTACTCGAGCGACAGCGGCGTCGATAGTGATCGTGAAAATAGGGTAGAAAAGAAACGTAGCGGGAGCAGGCTTAGGAACATGGCTGCTGGTGCCGCCGCCGCGGGTGCCGCAGCCTTTGGCTTGAAGAAGTATAGTGACAAGAAGGAAAAGGACAAGAAGGAGGAGAGGGACAAGGACCGTGACCGTAAGGATAAGCACCGTGAGAAAGACCGGGACAGGGACAGGGACAGGGACAGAGATACGGATAGAGATCGTGACCGCGATCTTGATCGGGATCGTGAACTGGAAAGGGAGAGAGAAAGGGAGCTGGGGAGGGAACGGGACCGGCGCCGTGAGTAGCTCCTCCCACGCGACCCATTGTGATGATTGCATAGTGTCATTTGCTGACCGCCTGAACAGGCTTTGAGGGCGAGGCTTCAACAGACCCCGACGGCAGCTTGTACACGCCTCGGACGCCGTCGCCTCCTAACGCGTCCGGTGGCTACTTCTCGCCTCACATGCCTCCCTCAACCGGCTTTACCCAGCACCCCAATGTTGCTGCCACAAACATTGACCAGCAATATCGGCCATATCCCTACAACCCTCAAGACTATGCTGGGTATCCTCCGCCGCCGGGGCCGCCTCCCAACTCGGCCGCAACAACCGGTGGCGTGCTGCCAGGCGTGCCACCACCGCCGGGCCCACCGCCGCCGGGCGTGCCTCCAACATACAACGGACCTCCACCGCCGGGCGCGCCCCCAACGTATAACGGACCTCCACCGCCGGGCACAATACCACAAGGGATGCCGCCTCCGACAACTCCAACGGGTCCTGAACATGTGAGTGAAGCTTCTCGTGTCGGTCCTTCAATTTCCCAGCCAGAAGCTGCCGCGCGCCCCGACGACGACAGCAAGAAGGGTGCGTCTGGCCTCGCTGCGCCCCCCTAAGTGATTCCCTATAGTTTTTGTGGCTTTTTCTGTGACTTAAGCTGACATGGTGGATCCTAGATGGTGTAACTCCATCATCTCCCCGTGGCCGGTCTACAACGTCTACCGCGGACCAACCACCAGACACTCCTCGCGGACGATCTGTCGTGTTCATCCCCTTGTCTCCCAAATCTTTCACAACTCTTCGGCGCCATCGCGAAGAGCAAGAGGCAGCCAGGTCTGGAAACGAGGACGAACCTGATGACAATGACGACGGGAGCAGCGACGATAACGGCCCGCCTCGTGACCGTGGTAAAGGTGTTGCCCATGGCGTGAGAATCGACAGCCCTCGCCGCGAAGCTAGCCGCACCGCTACCGCGGACGAAAGTGCACCTCGGCGCCGCCGGAATTCTGAGCCCCCCTCTAGTTCTAGACGACCGCCCCCGCCAGCCTCGAGCCGTGCCCGTGACAAAGACAGTCTAGACACAGACAACGAAAGCGTCGTAGAAAATCTGCCGGACCGTTTTGACTCGCAAGGACAGCCTATAGCCGGTCCTGTCGGGGGGCGTGGTCCAGTACACAGCCGACGGGGTGACTTTGAGTACCGAAGCCCCCGAGGCAGTAACGGAACCAGCTTACATGGCGAGTGGGGCGTATCTGGGACAGATCACGAGGCGGTGGATCGCATCGTTAGAAACGTGACGGGCGTGCTGGAAGGACGCAGTGGCTGGCTGGGACTGATCGGCGGCATCTTGAGCGGCACCCTTTTGCAACCCGGAGCGGGAGCAGAGGAAGAGGGTCAGGGAAGGATTTCTGATCAGGGACGCGGGGGCGACAGGGATCGCGACGATGACAGGAGGCGCAGGGGTGCCGAGGACGAAAGCGACGACACCATGAGCCGGCGACGAAAAGACGAAGATGACGAAAAAACTCACCGCAGCCATCGGAGTAGTCGCCACCGCAGAGAAGATGACGACGGCGAAGATGAATATGACAAGCGCAAGAGTTCAAGTCGACGTCGCCGGGACGATGGAGACGACGACAGACGCAGCAGCACTAGCCGGCGGCGCAAGGATGATGACTCTGATTCTGATGTGCGGGAGAGCATAAGTAGGCGACGTCGCAAAGACGACGAAGGGGGTAGAGACAGGGACAGGGACAGGGACAGGGACAGAGACAGAGACAGAGACAGAGACAGAGATAGGGACAGAGATAGGGACAGAGATCGGGATAAGGATAAGGATAGGGACAAGAGTAGGAGTAGGGATAAGGATAGGGACAGGGAAAGGGCCAGGGACAGGAGCAAAGATCGGGATAGTAAAAGCGACAGGGACAAGGACAGCGATTGGGAAAGAGACGAGGAACGGGGCAAGAGCAGCCGCCATCGCAGAGACGACGAGCGCGGCGAGAGCAGCAGGCTCCCGGAAACCAAACGGCCCCACGCTCGCGACCGCGACGACGACTCGCAAGACGACGACTACTACGATGACCGGAAACGCAGGCGCCGCGAGACGGAGCACCGCCGGCGCGACAGGGACAGAGACAGCGACTAGTGAAAGCGGTGGCGGCTGGCGGTGCTGGTATATGATGCCATGTCTACGACTTTATGATTTGATTTTGTTTTATTTTTCATTATATTTGCTGTTCTTTGTCATGTCTTGATTTTTTGGTATGATACGCATCGGGTTGCTTCTTTATCCCTTGGTCCCTTTGGAGCTAGATATGACCCTGTATGGTTTTTTTTTTACATGCGCAACGTTTTATGTCGAGAATGTCGGTCTGCCTAGCTGGATAATGTTTCTTTCTTTTCATGAGTGTTACGAATACAACGATGATATATAACCATTTCTTTTGAAATATCAAACAAATAAAAAGGAGGTCGTCGCGCTTCTCTTCCGTACTTGCTCGATGCCGTTTACGCCCAGCAGCATTTATGTTTATATTAAAGAAGGGGGCTGTCTGGTCTTCGGGCGCCCCCTTTCCCTCTCCCGTCCCTGCCAACTCAATCCTGACACCCTGAACCTCCACACACGGTATATATTTGTAGGGGGAAAAAAAAGAAAGAACCCGGCCCCCCCCCGCCCCCCGTGGCTATGAGCCACCACGGAAGGACTACTGAAATACGAAAAAATATAAATATAAAAAAAGAAATCAGTCACCTGCAGGATTCGAACCTGCGCCCCCGAAGGGACTCCCTTGTTTGCGTTTAGTACCCAGAGGTACATGTAGCAGGGGAGCGCGTTAGGCCACTTCGCTAAAGTGACTTTCCTTTGCTGCACTGTGTCTCGACAATTGCAAGATATGAAGCCACTCTCTGCTTCGTAGTATGGATGCTTTCTGCATATATGTATTTATGCATATATGGATGTGCGTTTTCCTTCGTCTACTCTAGGAGTGACCAAAGTGAAATGTTACATGTTCGATTTGCAGTTCCACAACCTCCCTTGTGTGCGTTTGTTTGTTTGCCTCCTGAAAGTTGGAAAAGCCCCTTGAATCCTAGGAGTTTGGCACGGTTCAGGTCTTCGCGGATTCAACATCTCGTTAATCTGTGACAAAGCAGCTCACGGCTCAGCAACGCAGAGGTCAGGGGATGTAGTGTACGCATTGGTTTGAGCACATATGATACCGTTGCCGCCTAGCTTGTTTTACAAACCCGGACCGCGCCCCGTCTCTAGATGGAAAATCTAAATCGTGACCCAAAATTTAACAATATAAGCAAAAAAAAAAAAAAAAAGAACAAGTGAATTATCATACGTCCATCCGTCGGCATCTCTATAACTCCTCGTGCGCGTGTGCATCGGCCTGCCTCACGGGCTCGTCGGGCCTCCCGCTGTCCTTGTGCAGGTCGACGCCGAGCTTGCCGCGCCACTTTTGCCACACGGCCCAGAACTCCTTCTCCATGCCGCTCTCGAGCTGGTCGGGCAGCACGACGATGTACTCGACGAGCAGGTTCCCGTGCTCCATCTTGTGGTAGACATCGTCGACGTCCTCGTGCCACTTGGGCATGCCCTCGCCGGCGACCGTCTCGACGTGGCCGGGCTGGACGACCTCGCCGCGCTTCCGGCCTAGGCGCACGACGTGGCCGTCGAGGTGCGTCAGGTTGCGGGACCAGTCGCCCATCCAGGCCTCGCGCAGCGACAGGACCTCCCTCCAGAGCAGGTCGTCGCCCCTGCGGCGGAAGAAGACGCCGTCGACGTGGTCCGGATTGTCCTGCTCCAGGTCCGGTTCCTTCTCGACCAGGGTCACAAACAGGTCGCCGGCCACGTAGTCGGGGCTGGCATCGGCCTCGTTCTCGTACTGGATCTTCGCGCCGTTGGCCATGCCCTTCTGGACCTTGAGCGACACGGTGGCGGGCTTGCGCAGGACGCGGTCGCCGCCGCAGGCGGGGCACTTGTGCTTGATGGTCTTGCCGCGGCCGCCGCACTGGTCGCACTGCATCTGCACCTGCTGGAACATGCCGGGCGCCAGCTGGTGGCGGACCATCTTGACGCCGTGGCCGTTGCAGGTGCGGCACGTGTCGACGACGCGGTCCGACGCGCCGGTGCCCTCGCACTCCTCGCAGATCTGCTGCTTGTCCCACTGGAACTCGGTGTCGCGGCCCTCGTAGAAGTCGCGCAGGGCGATGCCGACCTTGACCTCGATGTTGGGCCCGCGCCGCTGGCCGGGCTGGTTGCCAAAGTGGCCGCCGCCACCGAAGAAGCGGCTGAACAGGTCAAAGGGGTCGTGGCCGTGGCCGCCGCCCCCCTGCTGGCGCTGCTTCAAGCCCTCGTGGCCATACTGGTCGTAGATCTGCCGGCTCTCCTTGTCTATCAAGGCCTCGTACGCCTGCGACACCTCGACAAACTTATCGTGTGCCGTCTCATCGCCCCTGGGAGTCATGGCGCATGCCGTGTCAGCAAGGGGTGCGATGAGGTTTACTTTAGTACGAGAGCCGAAAGGGGACAGGGGGGTTGACTCACGGGTTCTTGTCAGGGTGGTATTTCTTGCTCAATTGCCTGTAGGCTGACTTGATCTCTTTGTCTGAGGCTTGCCGGTTGAGGCCGAGAATCTGCGAGAGCCCGATCGAGCATGTTAGGAGCCCGTCGCAAGTCGCAACCTGCTAATTGCTGATGGGAAAGGGAAGCGCGCACCTTGTAAAAGTCCTCCTGGCAAAGGACAAGCTGCGCCAGCACCACTAGCAGCAGCAAGGTCGCCGAGTGTAGCAGCATAGTGCGCCCGCCGCCGAGCTTTGGGCCAAAGGGGCCAGACTGTCCACTTTTTTGCTTTGCGCCCTTCGAGTCGATTGATCGATTGCGCCCGGGATAAGAGGTGCACCGATTGAAGCAGAGATAATAGTCTACAAACAAACGAACGACCCAGTAGAAGACCAGGCAGCGTCCGTCGTATATGCTCTAGTCGTAGTCAAGAAACACGGCGTCGTGAGAGGGAGGAGGGGGGGGGGGTTACTTTGTACTGTGAGCTTCACTTATACCAAAAGTCCAAAGTAAGTAGCAGCCAGCGTGGTCAAACCAAGGGCGGGTCCGCCACGCGACGGCTTGACAAAGCTACGCTCCACAAAGCCGGAAGCATCATTGGCTGTCGGACAGGTTCCCAGGCTCTCGGGCCAATCGGAGACGCTCACGGCTGACATAATTAATGTCAAGCTTCAATTGATAGGAACAGGGGGGAATAATCCCGCTACAGTAGCTTATGCATGTCGATAAGATAAGGATTTTGAAAGTGGTGGATCTTGGACTTGCATCGCACGGTCACAGACGGTCGGTCGGCAGGCAGGCAGGCAACGCAGCGCCGTAGCGTACAACAGCAACAACCTCAGGAGACAACGGAAAACGGTTATAAAAAGGGAAATAATTGTGGAACAACCGCACTCGGCGGCCCGCTAGGGTCTTCTCTTCATTCGAAGATGGCGTCCAAACGGTATGCGTTTGTGCCCATGGACGACGACGACGACGCCTTGGCGCCTGCAACAGTCGACAGACGCGATCGAAAAGACCGAAAAGACAAAAAGGACAAAAAAGAGCGGAAGCGCGACAGATCGCCCCGCGACCGCTCTCCGTCTCCGCGCCGCCACAAGTCCAGGCGCCACGACGACGAAGCCGACATACCCAGACGCCGCTCAAAGTCGAGGTCTAGATCCAGGTCCCCGCACCGCCCCGCCGACAGCAAAAGCGACAGCAAAAGAGATGCCGAGAGTTCGAGGCCAGGTCGCAGCAGTGGTGCTGGTGGCGGCCACGATTCCCGGCGCGAAGACCCCAAAATGATAGACCTACGTCTCAAGTCCCGGCAGGACTACCTAGCCAAACGAGAGTCGGAGAAGCTCGCCCTGTTGCGGAAACAGGTGGCAGAGGAGACGGCCGAGCTGAAATCGGGCGTGCGGCTGTCGGAGAGGGAAAAGGCCGAGTTCGCCAAGAACCGCGAGATCCTGCGGCTGGCCGAGGAGAGGGCGCGCATCGACGACTACCAGGACGGCTACCGTCTACCCGACCAGTACGGCGCCGACAGCAAGAAGAAGGAGAACGCCCTCTACATGCGCCACGTCGAGCGCGACGAGTTCGGGAACGAGAAGCTCGTGACCGAGTACGAAGAGTGGGAGCGCGAGCAGACGGTCAAGGCCAAGTCGCAGATCCAGAGCCGCGAGCGCGAAGACGGCGGCGAGTACGACTTCCTGCTCGACGAGGACGCCATCACCTTTGTGCGCGACGCCGTCAACAGGCATGCCCAGCCCAGCGATGGCATGACGCAGGAGCAGAGGATCCTGGCTGCACATATCGACGAGGCCGAAAGAGCGGCCAGAAGCATTCAAGACGTGCGCAAGAGCCTGCCTGTCTATGCTTATCGCGACGCCTTCCTAGACGCCATCAAGGAGTTCCAGGTCCTCATCCTGGTGGGCGAGACGGGCTCGGGAAAGACGACGCAGATCCCCCAGTACCTGCACGAAGCCGGCTTCACCGACGGCGGCCAGAAGATTGCATGCACCCAGCCGCGTCGAGTCGCTGCCATGAGCGTCGCCGCGCGTGTCGCCGACGAGATGGGCGTCAAGGTCGGGCACGAGGTCGGGTACTCGATCCGCTTCGAAGACTGCACCAACGACAAGACCATCCTCAAGTACATGACCGACGGCATGCTGCTCAGGGAGATGGTCGCCTCCCCGACACTGGATGGCTACTCGGCCATCATGATCGACGAGGCCCACGAGAGAACCGTCCACACTGACATCCTGCTCGCACTAATCAAGGATCTCACACGCGCCCGGCCAGAGCTGAAGCTGATCATCTCTTCCGCAACCCTCAACGCCGAAAAGTTCAGCAGCTACTTCGACGACGCCCCCATCTTCAACGTGCCCGGCCGCGTGCATCCCGTCGATGTCTACTATAGCCAGAACCCAGAGGCCAACTATCTCGAGGCCGCCCTGGTGACCGTCTTCCAGATCCACGCGTCCCAACCAGAGGGCGGCATCCTGGTCTTTCTGACTGGCCAGGAAGAAATCGACCGGGCCTGTGAGCGCGTCGAGGAGATCAAGCGCAAGCTCGGGAGCCGAGTTCCCGAGATTGTCGCGCTCCCCATCTACGCCAACATGCCGTCGGAACTGCAGGCCAAAATTTTCGAACCCACGCCCCCAAAGGCGCGCAAGGTCGTCTTTTCGACAAACATCGCAGAGACGTCTCTTACCATCGACGGCATAGTCTACGTCATAGACTGCGGCTACGTCAAGGAAAACACGTTCTCGCCGGTCGGGACGACGGGCCAGTCGACGCTCGCCGTCGTGCCCTGCTCGAGGGCGGCAGCAAACCAGCGCATGGGTCGCGCGGGTCGTGTGCGGCCGGGCAAGTGCTTCCGTCTCTACACCAAGCATGCCTACCTGTCCGAGATGGACGAGTCGCCGACGCCCGAAATCCAGCGGACGTCTCTGTCGAGCGTGGTGCTGCAGCTCAAGGCGCTCGGGATCGACGACCTCCTCGGGTTCGACTTCCTCGACCCGCCGCCGACGGAGCTGCTGATCAAGTCGCTCAACATGCTCTATGCGCTCGGAGCGCTCAACAGCGCGGGGGCGCTGACGCGGGTGGGGCGGCAGATGGGGGAGTTCCCGGCGGAGCCCATGCTGGCCAAGGCGCTGATCGCGGGAATGCAGGAGGGGTGCGTGGAGGAGGTGCTGACGATTGTGTCGATGCTCGGCGAGATGGCGACGCTCTTCTTCCGGCCCAAGGACAAGAAGGTGCACGCGGACAGCGCGCGGGCGCGGTTCACGGTCAAGGAGGGCGGCGAC